CCCGCTTACCGTGGACAGGGTCAGGAGATGCTCGCAGTCCTCATCCTCCTCATCCGCCACGAAGGTGAAGGCCAGGGCGCTGCCGGTCAGGGCGCAGCCTGGGGAGCCCGGGGGTCATGCACAGCAAAGCCACAGACCCCGGGGCCCGGGAGGCAGACCCCCCCCCCCGATCCCGACCCCCACGCACCGAAGAGGCCGCCCTCGGGGTCCCGCGGGCTGGGCGGGCGCCACTCGCGGCTCTGCAGCTCCAGGAAGGCGGCCATGTGCAGCGCCGGGCACGGCGGGGGAGGGAGGCAGGAAGGAAGGAAGGGGCTGAAGCTCCGCCTGGCCGGCCCGGCTCCGGCTCCGGCTCCGGCTCCAGCTCCTCCTCCCCGCCCGGCCCCAGCAGCCGTGCCAGGGAGCGGGGCCCTGATGAGCCAGAAAGAGGCCTTGTCCATCAGGGGATCACAGGAGCCGGTTGCCACATCCCGAAACCACGAGTCTCCTTCCCATCTCGGGCCAGGACGGGCCCTGAGCTGCCGGGGCCAAGGCAGCGCAGCGCGGAGAGCAAGGAGGCGGGTGGAGGGAGGGTGCAGGATGATCCAGGGCAAAGCGAGAGGGAGGGGGTGCAACCGGCTTCTGTCTGGTTCAAACCCCCCGGCACCTGCAGCAGGGAAAGGCAGGGCCTGGGGGTCTGGGCTGTGCCCCTGGCCCAGCTGCCTCGCTCACCTGTCGAGCAGACATTCGTTTCTACACAGGATAAGGCCAAACCAGGGAGATCCCCCACCGGCGTCTGCTCCGTGACCCGGCAAAGGGACACATTCCCACCGTCTGCACCTCCTTGCACTCGGGTTCAGATGGGGGCGGTGGGGTCCCCTCTGTACACCCTGGTCCCCTTCCTAGCTCAGCATGGAGGGAGAGAGCAAGGAGATACTCATGCTTGTGAGAGGAGTGCCTGGCTGTGTCGCGGCAGTGCCGGGTGCTGCCAGTCTTCGGGACAACCAGGAGAGCAGATGGGAATGCGACGCTCCACTCAAGGAAAACCTGCCACCAAGCAGCATTTATTTTGCCCCAGACTCGATCAAGACCATCATTAGGAACTGATCACCCTTCACCGAAATGCAGCCATGTCTGGGGAGGCTGCAGCAGCTGATTACTGTGGCGCCAGGTAGTCCAGACCTGTGGGTACAGGAGATGCTTCAATCCATGTGAAATCCAACCAGGCCGGCAGGGAGCGGTTAGTCCAGCCCCATCCAACAGCAGCCAGGATCAGAGGGGGAAGGCACAGGGGATCTCATCCCGCATGGCCTAAACCCCGCAGCCAGGGTTCAACCCCCTCACGAACCAGACCAGGGTGCACACGTTGTCCCAGAAGCAGCTGGGGGCTGGTAAAACCTCACAGCTGGCTCTGCAAGCCCACTCTCACCCTCCGCCTCCACCAGACATGTTCCTCCGACCACAAGCAGCACCAGGCTTTGACCGAACCCCCGAACTCTTTATGTCTCTTGACTCACAACCGCCCACCGCCACGAACGACAACCCAGCATCACTCAGAGAGGCACCCGGAGCACGAGGGGGTCTTCCCCAGGAAGGGAACTAACCAGCTATTTGCTTTGGCACCGATAACTCAACACCCAGAGCTGTCTCCAGCGAGTCCAGGGGGCTGGGAGGTATTTACTGAGGCACCCCCGAATTCATAGTTGGCCGGGTCGGAAGGGACCTGAGCAGATCATCAAGTCTGACCCCCGGCCATGGCAGGAAAGAGCACTGGGGTCAAACGACCCCAGTAAGGTGTTCATCTAGCCTCCTCTTAAAGCCCCCCAGGGTAGGGGCCAGCACCACTTCACTTGGAAGTTGGTTCCAGATCCTAGCCGCCCTGACCGTGAAGTCGCGCCTCCTGATGTCTAGCCTGAATCTCCCCTCTGCCAGCTTGTGACCGTTATTCCTGGTCACTCCTGGCAGTGCTCGGGGGAGCAGGGACTCCCCCAGTGCCTGCTGGTCCCCCCTAACTAGCTTGTAACAGGCCCCTAGATCCCCCCTCGGCCTTCTCTTGTGGAGGCTGAACAGATTCAGGTCCCGTCGCCTCTCCTCGTAGGGCCTGCCCTGCTGCCCCCTGACCATGCGAGTGGCCCTCCTCTGGACCCTCTCGATGCTGTCCACATCCCTCCTGAAGTGCGGCGCCCAGAACTGGATGTAGTACTCCAGCTGCGGCCTGACCAGTGCCGCATAGAGGGGGAGGATCACCTCCCTGGACCTACTCGAGATGCATCTGTGGATGCA